ATCAGCTGGTTTTCCTTAGATAGAAAACTTTGAATCAATCTGACTGGATGATCTGGTGAACTGGAAAGTGACCTGAGATGACATAATAATTGGAGCTATAGAAATAGACTATATTGATATTGTTGTTATTTACTCCCAGCATCATTTCTGGAACCTCACAACAGGCAAAAATCCCCCCAAAAAAACCAGGGGCTCCACTGATTGGTGGACGTCCAGAGGGAGCAGGGAGGCAGCCCGTCTGCATGGTTTCAGGCTGAAAAATGCTTAGGTGAAACAGGCTAAAGATGGCTTACTGTACAGCAGGGCGAGTTCAAGTCTTTTTCATATCGGGTCAGCAGTGTTAGCAAGTCCTTAAAGGTCTTCTTCTGCAGCATAAACCGGGCCTTTTTTTATCTGTCCCTGTGTAAATGGGTCTGGCTGACATTTAATCTGAGATTCCAATATGTCTGCAACTAGTGGGAACTATAAATCTGATATTCACACGGTGCTACTGAAGCTCGTCAGAAACATAATTAGCACCGAGTTAAATAGTGAGAACTTCAGCATCCATTCTTTGCCTGGTATGGGTGTCCACTGTCATGGTTGCTAGGCAACAAAGCGTACACTAAGCAATGGGCGGTGAAAGCCGGAGAAGGCTGGACCTGTTTGACTTTACAGCTAAACTCTTCTAGCCGTCTTATTTTTACTGACGCTGAAATCGAACACGTTCTTAGTGTGTTTTATATCAGCGATCTGCTGCGTTAAAGGCCTCATGCTAAACAATCGAGTCAACAGCTGGAATATTAAGAGGCACTGGTTTTGGTTTGGTTAATGACTAATAATTACGAATTGCAATTACACATTAAAATTGTTAACATTTACTAATGGTTGATTCAAACCGAGGTGCACAACTGATTTAAATATTTTAAATATGAACAATCAGCTTTCAGTGAAGCTGACTTTGTTGGTTTTGGTGAATGTTCTTACTCTGTGAAGGAGGTCTGTCCTTGCTCCTGACCGTTCAGCCCGGCACAGATCTCTCTCAGGGAAGCAGGAGGATAGGAGTTTCTTCCCTCTGGAAAACATTTATGATAAACTCATCATAATCAACACCTGGTAATGCTTGCCTGCAATGCCTCTAAAGAGAACAGAATATGAGCAACTAGTGGATGTGCAGCAGATGATCCACTGGAGTGATGCAGACACCCTATTTAAAATTAAGGATAGGTGTTTGTGTGAACGACTGTTATTAAGGAGACTTTGGGGGAACAGATTGGGTTTATTTGAGGCAGCTGCAACAAACAATGCTGCAAACGGAGGGCAGGTATGATCAGAATGTGGTGAAAATGCAGGAAGTCTTTTTAATTCCAGCTGTAACAGCTGGGCTCCTTGTTTGGGTTATTGGAGACAATGTCAGTTCAGAAACATCCACCTCACCATCCTTCCACATATCCTCGAAGCATGAAACCATTTTCAGATCACAGGTGGATTATTTCATTTAACTTCTTTAATAAATTATGATAGTATGATGTTTGGTTAATAAAAAGAAAAGAAAAAAAGATTTACCAGCTACAATCAATCCCAATGCAGAACTAGAACGAAAAGAAAGAGCTAAAAGTAGCCGCTGTAGGTTGTTCCTTTTCAGCAACCAAGGACAGCAACCATAAGAGGTTTATTCTAAATAATCAAATTAGGGCTGCAGCTATTGGTTATTTTATTAATTGATTAATTAATTGATTATTATGATTATTCTAAAAAATGAATTTCAGTAAATCAAAAGGTTTAAACATGTTTTGAATTTAGAAAAAAATATATTATTGCACATTTTAAACGATGTGTTAATTCTGAACACTTTTGAGTTTTGTCTGAATTTCTGTTCATTCTTGAGCAGATCCTAAACCTCTGAACACACAGCTTACCAACGTCTTTTTAATCTCCGATCCGATTTTTTTCCCACATCACACTGACTGCATATAGAGAAGCTCCGACTAGGCAGGGTGAGCAGATCTCTGCGTATTTTTGTTCCACTTCTGTTGTGTTATTAAGTTAGCATGCTTTTAAAGGCCCAAAGCTTATAGATATTTCATTTTTATATTTCAAATTTACAGATTTTATTATTCTAATCTTATTGTGTTTATTTAATGTTTTTGGTATTTTACTTTACCATATTATTTGTTCTCCAATATCATCCTTCATACGTGACTGTTCCTTAGGGCATGTGGGAAGCTTACTTGACCAACACAGTGTTACAGCTTGACTCTGATTGGAACCAGCTTTAGTTCGGGTGTGTTTCAGCAGCAGTTCTGCAGTTTTTCTTGCTGTATTACTGAGCTCTTACTGTTGAGGACAGAGAGGAAGACTCTGAAGAAGCGTTGGACATAGCCCTGTTCCTCAGCCGTCAGCCGGTTGAGGTGGATCAGGTGCTGATGGGTGGGTGAACCAGCCAACTGCTGCACCTGCGTCTGGTTGTACCGATCACCGACTGCCACCACAAACATGGCCACGCCCGCACACTTGGCCTTCAGGGAGATGTAGCCCAGCCGCTCTCTGTCCATGTAAGCTGTCTGGGAGGCCACCATGGTCAGCATAGCCCTGCTTTTGCGTGCCGGACTGGCCTTCAGCAGCACCTCATTGAGGGTGAAGTCCAGCGTTTGTCCCAAAACCGAGGAACGACTCTGCTGCTGCATTTTCTCCATCAGGTGTTGCTTCATTACAGCCTGACTCTGGTAAGTCTGAAGGTTGAACTCCACCCTGGCATCCTTGGTGCCGCTCTGCTGGACCACAGCAATGCGAGCCTTGGTTCCAGATCTGCGGGGCTGTGAACTTACATCCAGCTGCTCCACCAGGGAACCCAGCAGCTGCTTGGCACCAGCGTATTCATCCGCCTGCATTTCCCTGGAGCTGTCTAGAACTATAGCCAGGTCCACATCTACCTGCTGAGGCGGCAGCGGGTCCAGGATGAAGGAGCACTCCTGTGAGCGCCTGCATGGGTCTGTAAAAGGGGCAGAACATTTTATGCAGTATTTACAATGTATCTGGATAAAATCAGCCAATGTTCATATGCTTCATACATCATTAAATCTCAACATTTCATCTAAACTAAAGCAGAACTAACGACCAACACTTTTGGATCCGGAACTCATTTCACATCATCATTTCAAATGTTCACATGCTGTTACTATAACCTTGTGAAGGGGTTTAGTTTTTCTGGTTTCTGAGGGTCTTTCAAAGGCCCTAAATGCCTGTTTACCCATATTTGGTCCCAGAAAGTAAGATCAGTATTTCAGGATTATCCTGGTCATTTTGCTTTTTGATTTTAAACATCATGAAACACAAAGTATCCATTTAGTTTTTTTTACCATAACAGATTGCACAATTCTTTATCCTCTTCAAGTCATTAACCAGGTTGTCCTGCCTTAACAGTGGTGTGAAGATAGAATGACCAGAGTCATCAACCTGTAAGGAAACAGCAGCTGTTAGTGTGTGGAGGGAATATCAGGACATCATTTTGATTTATTTGCAAATAGAATCACATCAAATGCTAAAATCACGATCTGCTAATTTAATCACATTTTCTCCACATAATAGAATCCCATCGTCTGC